AGGCTCTTGCAGAAAGAACCATACAACGGCTTCAAGTCAGGTAGTCAAAGATTCATTTTTCAGTCTGGTTTTTTCAAAGAATTTAGGTTCATGTTGCTCTGAGCAAAACGGAAAGTGTTTTTAGTTTAGAAGATTTGCCCTTTCTCCTTACTCAACCCTAGAGGAGAAAAATGGCTTGATCTTGGAAATATTTAAAGCTGCACCTTAATCCTTCATATTCAAAAAATGTTTACATTTAGCTCCCTTCCTCTGTGAATTCCAGATTAAATTATAGCAATGGATGCCTGTGAATCTGGCCAGGGATTTGCAATCTGAAGGTTAAACAGAGAAAGTGTTTTCCTAGACTTCAGAAGAAATCTTTTCGTTTACATAGCTGTTTAACACTTTTGCTAGTGATAAACTTTATACACTTCACCTGATAAGTTTTGCGGCTGTGTGTTAACCAAGAAAAAGGTGTTAAAAGTCTCTTCCAATCCTGTTTCACATTAGCAGGCCAGTTCTGCACTAGATTACACCAATTTCACAAACTTCCATGGGGCATGGATGATGGCTGTGACTGAAAAGGCTACCAGGCATTTATTCTTGTTCAATGTAGTCCATACATTCTTTCAAAGGAGCTAATTGTTTAGCTAATTGTGCTTTAAAGCACAGACTTACTGTTGGTTTACTGTCAGGATAGTTCCAGCTCTTTGCTATGTCTATAATGCCCTTCCAGCAGCAAATTGGAAATATCAATCCACGATTATTCTAGGTTACTTAAGGATTATATATTCAGACACTGAATACCTAAGTATGTAAGAGATGTTTCTTAAACTGTCACCAATACTTACTCAGCAGGATGTGGAAACTTCTGTTCATGTTTTGGGTTCCTCTGTCTTTACAATATGAAGTTTCAAATGTTTTGCAATTATCTATGTAGCAAAAAGAGTGCCTGCTCTGGTCAACTACTGTGAGAGAAGGGGAGGAAGAGCCAATGGAATGCAAATTTGGCAGTAGAGAGCTCTGTCAATTTTTGCTCAGGAAGAGGTCCTCCAGTCCCTACAATGGAGGTGTCATCACTGAAGAATGTGGATCAAGTGCCTTTCCTAACAACGCTAGGTCTAGGACCTCTGGGAATTACAAGTAGTCCATGACTTGGAGACAGAGTGAGGAAAGGAAATTAGGGCAACGGAAATTAGAATTACAAGAACAATGGAGTTTCTTTTTGGTGACCCAACCGAAAAATTAAACAAAAAAAATCCATTTTAGGTCAGCTAAACTCAAACTGAAACAGCTCACTTTGCTTTCAAATCTCGTTTCAACTTTTGAAATAAACTGTGCATATAATTCTAAACCAAAACACTATTTTGAAGTGTAAAACTGAAATATTTGATTTAGAAAATGTCAGAATGAAATGTTTCAGGATGATTTTGCCTTTTTGAGCTGGAAGTATTAACTGAATTGAAACCCAGGCTGCCTGCCTGAAAGTATATCTTTATTTTCTTCTGGTCAGTAATTGTTTGTCCCAGACTTTTCCCCTATTTGTAAGGGAAACCTCCTTCAAACTCTACTTCCTTTGTCTGTTCCAAACTGACCATCACCCACCATCCTTCAAACACCCACAAGTCACACGTGTCCCACAAGAAAACCTATGAAGGAAATTCTGCAAAACTTGCTCTGTGGCATTTCCAGGGCTCCAGCTCGTGGAGTTTCCATGGTTGGAAAAGTTAACAAATAGTTTACTTTGGGTTTACATCTTGGTAGACAAATGGATTTTCATCTAGCTTTAGTCCCATTGAGGAAATCTTGAGAGATTGATTTCATATTTCTGAGTAGGGCAGCTCAACAAAGACGATGTGGAAGTGGTCTAAAGGAAGTAGAAGAAGGAAATAAGTCAATTATCCATTTGGGAAGTGATTATATCAATGAGGAACAGCATGTGTGTTATTCACGTTCTAGTGTCTTATTTATAATCAAGGAAGAAAACTGATACTTTCAGGGTAAAGTCATGTTGTTCTGTCCAAAGGCACAATCTTTATAAACCTCTAAGGTAGATGAGATGAATGACACATGGATAATTCCTGTCACCCTCCATTGGCTGTAAGGGAAGGCGGGTGTAGCTTGGGGATAGACTGTGTCTGTCCAAGGTTAGTGAGATGAATTTAGTGTTTAATACCCCTCACTTTGCTGTCAGCTGCCGCAAGTTTGAGTGATGAGAGAAAGGAGTCAGCCAGCAGCTCTTAGCAATGTCATTGCTTAACCCATAAGAAAAAAAAAAAACTAAATATCTTACTGAATTTAGTAAAAGGTTAAACTCCAACACTGTAATGTGACACCAAAGCCTGGCTAGCTGTCACTCTTGGGTCATTTCTGCCTTGACTGTGAGCAGGCATGTAATTCATGATGCAAATGATAGTGTGGAGCAAAGTAAACCATGCTGATTGCACCTAGTTTGACAGGTTACAGGCATCCATCACCCAGATGTGTCAAATGGCAGTGTAGTATATGAGTTCCCACAAGAAAGTGTTATAATTTCAGTTCACATAAACCTTGTTCAAATTAGTTATGGATAGATCCTTTTACCTCAAAATAGCTCTGGTTCAGGAACAACATGGGACAGTGTAATTCGACTTCAACCGCTGGTGTAAGACACGTTGAGACTAACTATTTTTAGGCTAACTTTGATTTCTCTTTGAATTTAATTGATGAAGCTACCAAGGTAGATCAAGGTAGATTGCCTGCCAACACTTTTCCTGTATTACAGTATCTATTCACGAAGCGTCTTCTGGATATCCTTTTAGCACAAGTTTTTACATATGAATGTCCCTGATACACTGTGTTTGCAAAACTTCATCTCCCTCATCTGCACTGCAACCCTGAGTCCTTTATTTGAGGACATTCATGGTGTTTTGGGTTATTTTAGATGTGGAAAGGATGCCCTAATGAATAAATGGTAAAGCCTTGTTCAGGAAGATTTCATCAGTGGCTGACAATATGCTATTGCATATATCCTCTGGCTTTCTCACTATTTGGAAGCTTTTCACCTCTTTAACCTTGTTCCAGCCATCAATGTCCGTGGCTGCACCAGAGCAACTCCTCTATCTTCCCAGGGGACATTGCTGAAGAATGTGATAATGATATGGCTCCCCAGTGACTTGGGATTTTTTTCTGTCTAAGAGCTTGTATTGAGAGCGGGCACCAAGCATTTCCCTTACAAAGTGCTTTTCAAATCCCTGACACTGCAGAGCTCCATTTGTGCTGAACACGCTTATGGGGCAGTGAGAACACAGCGCTCTGAGCTTTCAGTAGCAACTGCTGCCTGACTGTTTGTCACCATCATAGAATCACAGAATCATAGAATTGTCAGGGTTGGAAGGGATGTTAAAGATCATCTAGTTCCAGCCCCCTCGCCATGGGCAGGGACATCCCCCACTAGATCAGGCTGCTCAGAGCCCCATCCAACCAGGGGAGGCACTTTGAGAATTTTTGTCATCACCTATTCAGGATGGGATCCTGTGTGTGAGTGCACTGAGGCAGAATCAGTGAACCAAACCCATGGCTCATGAGTGATGCTCTTTTTCCCACTGTCTGCACAAATAAGGCTGACCCACACGCTCCCTGCTAAGCTCCAGCTTGTGGTAAGCCAGGAGGTTGAGGGAGGTGGTTCTGGCCCTGTACTCGGCTCTGGTGAGATCTCACCTGGAGTCTTGTGTTGAGCTCTGGGGCCCTCAGCACGAAAAGGACATGGATCTGTTGGAGGAGATCCAGAGAAGGGCCACAGAAAAAGATTAGAGGACTGGAAGAGGTCTCCTATGAAGAAAGGCTGAGAGTGTTGGGGTTGTTAACCCTGGAGAAGAGAAGGCTCCAGGGAGATCTTATTGCAGCCTTTCAATACTTAACAGGAACCTATAAGAATGACGGGGACAATCTTTTTAACAGGCAATGTTGCGATAGGACAAAGGCTAATGATATTAAACCAAAAGTGAGCAGGTTTAGACTACAGATAAGGAAGAAATTTTTTACAATAAGGGTGGTGAAACACCACAAGAGCTTGTCCAGAGAGGTTGTGAAGACACTCAAGGTCAGGCTGCACAGGGCTCTGCACAACCTGATCTAGTTAAAGATGTCCCTGCTCACTGCAGGAGATTGAACTAGGTGACATTTAAAGGTCCCTTCCATCCCAAAACATTCTATGATTCTATAAGTTGAATTTGCAGCCTTATGGTGAAGAAGCATGTCCCCAGACCAATCTTGTATCTGTTTCGGATACAAGAATACAGCCTCTGACCCAGCAGCCCCACATCTCCATTGCATTTGGGTAAAAGACAAAAGTTCTTTAAATGGGTATTTGAAGACCAAAATATTTATTATAATAAATTAAAAAGTAAGCATTTATAAAACAATTCATCAACATATAAATATCACACAGCAGTTTTAATTTCATAGTTCATTTAAAACCCTTTGGTACAGCTTCATAAATACATTTCCCTGGATATTTTTTAATTAATATATATAAATAAAAGTAATGTATAATTACTACCTTAAAATAAGTTACCATTAAATAAGAATGACAAAAATTATATTTGAATTCATCTGAAATACCAACTTTTCAGGTAAAGGTCAGAAGGGGGCAACATATGCAAGAGAGATTTCCAGGCAAAAGGCTCAAAACGTCCTGGCTACGTGTCACTGCCTACCTTCGTCAAAGCTGACCCATAGGTGTCAAATCTCAGCATATAAAATAATAAATGGTTGCCTTACTTCTATCGAGATGAGGAGGACAGGATAATGCCTTTGAAGATAACTAATGCTCTATATCGAAGCCGCACTGTCCTGGAGTTTTCATTTTCAAAGAAGGCAGCAATATGCATCCCACCTGTGCCCACTTAGACTGCTGTTTTTGGAACAAGTGAAAAATACACTGCATCTATGGGTGGGTGAGGTTTTTTCACAATAGTTAATTAATTTGAGTTGTAGCACGTTTTTCAGAAACATCTCTTCATGTCTGATCTGAAATTTTCTCAGTTTTTCTTCTTGTTCCCTCCCTTCCTTGGGGCATCAGTACAGGCGTTTTCTGTGTAGTCAAACAGTAAGTCCAGCTCTCCAATGGCTTTAATCTTTCCATTCTCTCCCAACTAGAAAAGAGAAGAATGTAAGTTTTAGCTTCTCATTATGCCTCAGAAAATTGAAATCATGCTTGTCACAGAAATTGGATCAAGAACTTATTCTCTCAAGTAGTTCTATTAGAGTGGTTATGCCATAAGATATAAAGTAGCTCATTCAAGCCTACTCTAACACTTACAGTTACCGGCAACGTGACTTCTGAAGGTTTAAATTACCCTAACATATGCAAAGAGTTAACAGGACAAGTGAAGGAGGGCTGGAAGTGGAAACATCACTAATCCCCTTTTCAATGCCCCTGCAGTCTTCACTTCCTAAATAATCTCCAGAGTTAGTTTCATAAATAGGTCAGCCTTAATCCAACTAAATGACTGGGGTTTGGAAATGCTCTTTTTAAATGCTGGAAAAAAACCATACCTGTTTCATTTTTCTCTTCATTTCTTCAAGATTCTTTTCAATGTGCTCTCTGTGTCCTAAGAATTTCTAAAAAAAGAAAACATCCAGGCATAACATTGACAGCTTTATGCAACAGTGTACTTTTTTTTTCTTTTTCACACCTTTCTGTCAACCTCGAGTTCAACATCTTTGATCTGAGGTTTCCTTTCATAGCACTGCCTTTTGCTGCTGTATGCAGCATTCTGAGATTGAGGAGCAGCAATGAAAGTCACAACTTAGAGGAGGGGAAGAAAATCAATGCTACTCACACATCTGCTCAGCTCCGAGGTCAGGGATGCCAAGAACTGTGCCACCTCCTCAGTGTATGGGTACCGGTCCTTGGCCTCGGTGAGGAGGACATCTTTCACTACAATCTCGATAATCCTCTTCATCATGTAGCAGCGGTTGTTTTCCTATGCGTGCAAGTAAGAGGTCACATTAAATCATGGCAAGAGATCAACAAATGTGGCGCAAAAATCAGCCACCTGGTGTAAGATTTACCTTGATGTTAACATAGATGTGCTGCCCAATGAGCCTGTTGTCTGTGTCCTGGTCTGAGACACTGGCCTGAGAGGAAAAAAGAAACATCAGGTGGGAATGAGAACCTGACCTAAAAATTAGTAAAAAACCCTAAGGTTTTCATCAATCATAGTGTAGGTGAATGGACATCATAGACGGTCTGGTGCAGGTAGATAAGTTTGGATGTTGTATTGATTTCTGCCCACAATTGAGTGAGACCTGAGTCAGTATCACTGAAAATAAATAAGCAGAAGTCTGAAATTCTGTCCCACTGTTAAGCATCAGGTGTCGTAATGGTTATGATGACTAAACCAGATGCCGCAGGCAGCCAACCTCAGGGTGGCCACAGAGCGGCTGGGAGGTGCTGCAGCACTGGATGATGTACACCGGGAAGGACCCACCCATGGTAAAAGCAGCCAAGAAACCTGCCCAGAAAGAAACCTGGAAGATGCCTGAGGAGCTGCCTGGCCACAGGTGGAGTCACAGGCAGGCCCAGTTCCAAATGAGAGAAATTTAAGCTCATATTTCACAGCTGCTCGAGAGAAGGAGCTGTGCTGTGCCAGGGGCTGCCTTTCCCTTGGGGAGCAGGAGGAGGACAGGCAGCAGCTTCCCCTGGCCACACAAGCAGCGGGCAACAGAGCCACTCCACACGCCCATGCTCTGCCTTACTGCAGATTCACGTTTTTCCTGGAGGAAGGATTAAGAAAGAGAGAGGAATGCCCAAGGCAGAAAGCCAGGGTACTGGCCGAGGAGGAGTTCCTCAGATGCCACCACGAAGGACACGTGGGTTACTGTACCATTTTAGCCAAGGTGTAGGTGCGATTCCTGATGTAGGGCTGCTGGAAGTTGATCTTCCTGAGCCTGCAGGCATGATGGGCCGTAGAAGCCACCTCTGCCCCTTTTGGAGGCAGAGGGCTAGTGAGAAGAAGAGGGAGACAGCAACAGCAGCAGAAGACGACCCATCCTGAGAAGCTTCTGGTCCAGGTCTGCAGGGAGGTCATGGCTCAAAATCCAAAGTCGTCTGTCCCAGCAGGTTGCAGTTAGAGCACTTGGCACTGATGAGAGAAAAGAGTGTTAGCATCGGGGAGAGTGGGCAAGAAGACAAAGTGAGAGAGGCACAAAGGCTTCCAGCCTTACCTTTGCTGTGATTCTTGATATGCTCTGCAGGAGGTGAGGTGCACCTTATATAGGGCCACCAACACCTCTCAGCTTTTTTTTTGTTTGGGTACTGGCGGTGAAATAAAAATGACATCAGCAAGTCTCTTACTTTCCAGTATCCTCTTCTGAGAACTACTTAACCACTACAAAACCCACAAGTACAACTTCAAGGCCATCATAATCTTTAGTTTCTTTTAAAACAAACCAAATTTTAATGCGGGGCAAAGCAGGGGCTTTTACTGAGGCAGGAATCCTGAATTCTTTCTGCATAAAGATATTTAAGAAGTTTACGGGCTTATTCCCACTGTCCTGATTGTAACACACCAATTGTATTGACAATTTGATGACAAATAATGTAATTTTTATAATTTTTTTTGTCTTTGTTGGTAAACACTGGTACTCCACTGCTGCTCACTGGTATACACAAACAGTCAGAAACTACACCAGACCCAAAGCACTGACAACCTGCAGCTCCTACCCTGCAAATAGCTTTTCCCACACAGTGGCTGGAGTCACCAGCCATCTGCCCATCCCTGTGCAGTCCTCTCTGAAGATCAGAAACTGTGTAGGACCAACATTGCATTTATCACATCCCTGATCTCCAAATTCTCATCTTCCAAAAAATTATCCATATTCCAAGCTATAGCTGGGTATAATGACCAGAGCTGTGGTCGTGCTCTTACTTATCCAGATGATTTCCATATTCCCAACGCTGTTCTGCCGATGTAAAGACAGTGCTGCACCTTCAGTCTGAAATATTACGCAAGGTGCTAAAGGGAAACTGTGCTCTCTTTAGAGAGTAATTTGCAACCCAGATGTAAATGGTAATGCACGAGGACAAAGAATTGGTACAAATGCAAATTCCTGGTTGTCTAATACCCACAAAGCACAGAGGTGGCAAATGTAAGAAATCAGACCTGGAAAATCAAGGCTCCAGCTCTGCCTCTGAGAGTGAACAGGGCCATCCTTGGGGCTGGGCTTCATCCCTTGTGGCTGAGGTTCTCGGGACAAGAGCCATAATCAGCTTTACCTCTTGGACTGAATGCTTTGAGTTGGAAGGGACCTTAAAGATCATTTAGTTCCAAGCCTCCTGCCATGTGCAGGGACGCCTACCACTAGACTGGGTTGCTCAAAGCCCCATCCAGCCTGGCCTTGAACATCTCCAGGGAGGGGGCTGCCGCAACTGAAATGCCCAGCTCATTCCCTTATACCTGAAAGGAAGCAGTTAAAGGCTGGATGGCATCAGGTTTATGCTTTAGGCTCCCCTGATGCATCCTCAACAAAAATTCATCTCTCTGTGCCTCAGTCTTGCCTCAGCTGCCCTGATATCTGCCACATCAGTTGTGCACAGCTCTGTGCCCTTGAAGCTGCATCCCCTCACCCTGGAAATGTCATCACCCCCACACTTTCCGTGCTCCTCTCAGGTACCCATTACCATGTCCAGCCTCTAGCAGTACCCTGACTGCAGCAGGCAACAGAAAGCAAGTCTGGACCCAGGATGCCAACAACACTATTCACACCCCAAATGCACCACAAAGGTATTCAAGAACCTGTTTATAAACTCTTTTCCATAAATTTTTCATTTGCCGGACTAACAGGCCCCGTGGGTGAGCAGATTAGTGCAAAGATGGGAGGCTGAGTTATGTGCAGCCAAAAGACAGACATTAAGAACCAAACTGTGAGAAATCCAGTGAGACTGTTTTGAAGGATCGGCCTCCCCTAAAGTGCATTTCCCATGAACTCCTTGACATGTGTTAAACACAATAACCAAAGTCTGCTTCTAACTGAGGTTTCTCACACTTCTCCTCCAGCTCCTCCAGCAGAAGAGAAGTCCCAAACCCAGAACAAATGCTGTGAATGGCCATTCAGATCCTCCGTGGTTCAGACACCCTCTCCTCCTGCCCTTCTGGCAGATCCCACCTCTCCAACCCCTCGCTCACTTACTCTTGTCAGACATGAATCCAGTTCGCCTGACCTCTTCTTGTGGCTTCAAATCCCACCAGGAGGGTTCACGACCTCCCTAAATAGGTGCTGGGCTGCTCACACCAGTTCCAACTGCTGTGAGGATTCCACCAGGTCCCGAGCTTCCCACACCTCCTAATGGATATTTAAACCACAACAGGCAGAGGGATGAGGAATTAGATGCTGAATCTCTCTTCTGCTCTCTTTTATGCAGTCATTACAGGCTCTCTTCTGTCTGTCTTCTTTCATAGTGGAAACCATACACTGGAACATACCTATTTTCAAAGAAATGCTAAGTTAGGCTTGATAAGGCTCAATTCCTCCATCTATATTGTTAATTATCTCTCTCAGTCATAGAACTTTTTGGCTGTGCCGTGATGTCTTTCTTCTGAGGCTTTAAAAAAACTTTGTTTCCGTTGTAAATTTTACCTCCCTACCTCTGATACTCACCTTTATTTTCTGGCCACTTAAATGCTGAAATGCTTGTTGTAAGTTCATTAATTTGTTTCACAAGTTCCCTTTTCATGACATTCCTAAAGCCTTCACATTGTTTAACCTTTTTTTTGCAGTTGTGAGTTACAACCACCTATCTTCCATCCCTCTAGCTTGCTGTGAATTCGGTCCAGCCCAAAAAATGAGCATTTAAAACGTTGCTGGATGCTAATTTTAGCACCATGTATGGTTCCCGTGCTTATCAGTCCAGTCCTGGCCTCTTTCCAACCACCTTGCACGAGATGACTCCTGGTCCTGGATTTATCACTGAGATACAGTATAGTCACACTCATGGTCACAGTTATTCCCTGCAACACATCAAGAAAAATTCTCTAGAAGTGGAGAGATGTCTTCCATTCCCAGTTTCCGCTGTTCCTGTTATGAGATTACACTGGGCAGGGATGTGATTAGTCACTGCTATCACCTCTTTGGACTGGCTCACCACACCCTGGATGGGAAATACACATAGAATTGTAGAATTGTTTAGGTTGGATAAGACCTTTAAGATCATCGAGTCCAAGCGTTAACTTAGCAATGCCAGCTTCATCACCAAACCATGTCCCCAGGCAACACATCTACAAGTCTTTTAAATACCTCCAGGGATGGTGACTCCACCACTTCCCTGGGCAGCCTGCTCCACACATCCAACATTACATCCTACAGAAACATGGGGCTAAAAACCTGCTGTGACCACTGGATCTTACTCCAGTCCTCATCTGAAGTCCAGAGAGGGAGGAAGGAATTGAAAAATTTTCTGATGCAGTCGGGGAATAATTTATTTCTTCTTATTTGAGGAGGACATACAATAGAATTCTGAAAAATAAGGTCCTGAGACAGAACTAAAGGTGTCTTAAAAAAGCAACCTTTCTCAATAATTCTTCCCTATGTCAGCATTGTCAAGTATTCTAACAAGTAGTAGGGAAACTGGTAATTTAGTAATTTCTCTTTGAGCCTAAACTACTGATATCTTTTATAATATATGATAGTACCAAGCTCTTCTTTATAAAACAATGTTCTCTTTAAAACAAACAAGCAAATAAAAATGAACCCCAGGAAAATGAATCCCAGGAAAGACTTCTCCAAGTTCAAATAGGGGCTGGGCTGGGAGAAGAGTGTGAAGTGAAAAGTAATCTTCCTTTATAATTTAATTACTTTTCCACTGTTTAATGATATTTTTATCATGATGCTAGTAACACTGTTCAAAATACAAAATTCTTACAAGAAAACATAGTTGCTATGCTTTTATTTTAACTAAAAACTACTAAAGATCTCTGAACTTCTATAAAGTATGCTCTGGTTTTTAAGTATAATGAATTTTAAAAATAATTCTGAAATGGTTCACAGATCATATTTGGAGAAAATATGATCTAGTGGTGTCCCAAGAGCTAAATGCTTTTCCCATCACTTATCTCAACAATAAACTTTTGAAATGCAATTTCATGGAGTTTCCCTAATTCATTAAGAAACCATAGCGGTTGAAGATTCTCGACAATGACTTCTTGACCCATATTGAAGACAGAGGATTTTTTGAGGAGGACTGGAACTCCATATCACATCTGCCTCAAAAGCCACAAGACACTTCCTTCTTGCTTTGAATGAGGCCACAGGTGAATAACCAATACTGTACCTTCAACTGTTGTGTATCGTCACCAGCACATTGACATGCAGGAGTTTTCATGAACTTTAGCACATTTTCAGTCAGCTAAGATTATATCATGTTATTAGAAACAGGATCAGATAGATTAGAAATCAGGATCAGACACTGGGCTAGAAATATTGTCAAGAGTAGGCATGCGGAAGAGTGAGCTTGTGCATTGTCCTCCTGCATCTGTCACCTGGTGATTAAATTCTCCCCCTTAAACATCTGTACAAATGGACCACAGGTCACATAATGCCTAAAACTGAGCACGGTACCTATATGGAGACATTCTCAACTTTAAGGTCACAATCACTGCTTTCATTTCACTCCAGCTCATTTCTGAGAGAGTTCATTGTGTTTTATCTCAGTTCTTCTCTGCTTTTGCCTAGACTTTCAAGCTTGAAAAGATTAAAGCAGACTTTAGAAACATTTCAGCTGAAGTTCTAGTGGAACCTTACGTTAGTCAGCTCTCTGCCCAGCAATGAAAACATCAGTAACGGAAGTTGATTCTTCTTTATAAAACTTGAAAATAAGCTTTTCTGTAATTCAGCCATTCATTAAGAAGACATCCTAGTACACAGACAAATGTCTTCTGGGCATGACCATTAGGAATGGCAGAAGGGATTAACTTTCCCCACCATAAGAGGGACATAGATCTGTTGGAGCATGTTCAGAGGAGGCCACAAAGATGGTCCAGGGGCTCGAGCACCTCTGCTACGAGGACAGGCTGCGGGAGCTGGGATTGTTCAG